TGTAATTAAATTACAGTTACTTATGAAAATGTTAAGGATTACAAATGGGGTTACATCTGATTTTTTCACACACACTCCCACATACAGATTTAATTGAGTTCTTTCAGTGACTGCTCTAAAATATGAAACACCAATGTTTCAGTAGTTTATAACATGCTTATCCGATAGGGTTTATGTATATTTTTTTAAGATTAACTGTTTTTTCTAAGGCATTGCTAGGTTCCAGTGTTTCCTGTCATAGCTATGCAAAGATTTGATTTCAAAAACAGTATCAAAGCTATTAAACTATTTCTTGTTATGATTTTAAATATGTATTTAACCTCAGAATGATTTAAAGCAGTGGTTCTCAAACCTGTCCTGGCGTACCCCCAGCCCTGCACATTTTGTATGTCTCCCTCATCTGTCACACCTGATTCAACTCATCAGCTCATTAGTGGAGTCTGCATGACCTGAAGTGGGTGTGTCAGATATAGGGAGACATACAAATCATGCAGTGCTGGGGGTACTTCATGGACAGGTTTGAGAACCCCTGATTTAAAGTAAGTCATGTTTTGTGGTGGCTGTGCTTCAAAGGGGCCGTCGGATGCCCATTTTCCACAAGTTGGTATGATTCTTTAGGGTATTCTTGAAATGGTCACAGTGGTCGTGTAAAACAATACCCTTTTTACCTTGTCAAAAACAGCTCTGTTCACAGCGACTGGTTTCGGTGCATTTCTCTTTACATGCTAATGAGCTCTGCTCACACCCGCCCCTCTCTTCTGTGGAAGAGCAAACGCGATTCGCAAATAATCATAAAAAATATATAAATTAATAAATAAAAAAAAAGCTACGGGTGTCCCGTGTTCGAATCCCGACTCAAGGACCTTCCCGATACCGCCCCCCCACCCTCTCTCCCCCACTTCGCTTCATGTCATGTCTGATCCGTCCCCCTAAAATTATTTAAGATTTTTTTTTTTTTTTTTTATAATTTTTTTGACCACTTTTGCCTGAATAAACCCCTAATTTGCTGCTTATTAATAGTTAGTAAGGTAGTTGTGAAGTTTAGGTATTGGGTAGGATTAAAGATTTAGAATATGGCCATGTAGAATATGTGCTTTACAAGTACTAATAAACAGCCAATATGTTAATAATAGGCATGTTAATAAGTAACTTGTTAATAGTGAGAATTGGTCCCTAAACTAAAGTGTTACCCTTTTTTAAATTATAAAAAAAAAAAAATATCTGTCAGTGGGTACAGAAAATAATCTTAATTCAAAAGGAAATGTTTCTGACCCTATTGGCATATTTGTTCTTTTTTTTAAGCATAAATATGCTTAATTTAGTTTGTTCAGAAATCAAGACTCAATATCTTAAGTCGTTTTGCTTCTGAAATAAGTGTATCTTGATTTAAGAATGTGTATATATTTGTACTTGAAAACAAGACAAAAACACTGAGTAAGAAAGTCCATTTTTTTGCAGCCCGAACTCAAACTCAGGGTTATTACAGTTACCTAAAACTAAACTTAAAACCATAAAAATATCTTTACTTGAAATAAAATAAATGTTAACTGAAATAAAATCAAAACTTTTTTTGCCAAGGCAACATTTCTCATTTTAATTTAGTTGATAGTATTAGTATCTATGCAATGATTTAGTATTTATTATTTTATTTAATAAATTGATGTACTAAAATAAATAAAATTAAAACTGAAATAATAAAAATATATAGATCTATATATAAATATATAAACAACATTGCTAAAATGACAAAAAACACTACACAACAAGATTACTAAAACGTCAACTAAAATTAAAATGAAAACAAATACATAAAATAAAAACTGATTCAAAATATTAATAGAAACTGTAATAGTATCTCAATGATTCTAAAATAAATAATATAATAATTTATATTTGTACAAAAAAATATGTGAATAATTCAGTGACTTTCTAGGTGATCAACTTTTTAAAGAATTGTTTATGAGCAAAACTTGTGCAGTTTCATAGATGTTGAGCCTCAAATCCCCATAATTCACATCCTATGTAAAAATGTTGTTTTAATTAATTAAATAGTTACTGTACCTGAACCTGAAATGAAAAACCAAGCCGATCCTGGCCCTGCATTATGTGTTGTGTAGCAGACCTCTAGTGTGAAGCGAGGGCAAGATCAGAAACAAGCCACAGGAGAATTTGTGAATCTATATATTATAGAGATACAGGCCTCCAAAGTGCAGATTCGTGTGTCTCTCATCCTCGTCTCTGGCTCGGTCCTGTCACTCAGTCTCCTGGTGTGTATCTTCCTATCTCAGGGGCTGCAGGGGCCCCTGCTGTAGAGCCTCTCATCTGCTCTCATTGCCTCCAGCTCTATGCCGTAAGTGCATTGATTTCCATGTACGTCTAATTACTGCTCATAATCTATTTCCACCCTCAGATTCCAGATTTTCAAATAGTTGTATCTCGGCCAAATATTGTGCTATCCTAACCATACATCAATTGAAAGCTTATTTATTCAGCTTTCAGATCACAATTTCAAAAATTGACCCTTATGACTGGTTTTGTGGGCCAGGGTCACAAATATGAAAATAAAATGGATATTATATTATATTATATTATATTATATTATATTATATTATATTATATTATATTATATTATATTATATTATATTATATTATATTATATTATATTATATTATATTATATTATATTATATTATATTATATTATATTATATTATATTATGTTTTTAATTAAGAATTTTCTAATATCAAGTGCTGTTGCTTCATATTATTTTACTATTAATAATATAACATGTTAGTATAATATAATATAATATTTGTTATATTATATTTTATTTTTATTAATTAATAAAACAAATTAATTATAATAATTAATAATTATTATTAACAATAAATAAAACCTTTTTAATTTAGGACATTAACTTTTACTTTATAAATAGTGGTATTAGAGCCTTGTTTTTAACATTAAAATGATAGTTTGATTTCACGCAAAAAATAATATCCTGTGATACTCACCGTTATTCCAAGCCATCTTTCATTCATAACATAAAATATAAACATTAACATAAAAATGTCCGAATGTTTATGTTGCTCTATTTCTTACAATGAGAGTAAAGATGAGAGGGATGCTGTTGAACTCCAAAAAAAGACGGGGGGAAAAAAGAAAAAAAAAAACGTAAAGTGGTCCATATAACTTGTGCACTTTATTTCAAGTCCTCTGAAGCCATGCAATAGCTTTGCGAGAGGATAGGAGATTTTCAGCAAACAACAATAAAAATTTTGGTCTGTTGCTCTCACAAAGCCATAGTGTAATACAAATTAGCCATATGAACTACGTTTATGGTGCTTTTTGTCATTTTTGTAGCTTGACATTGTCTGTCTACAAGCAGCATGTACATTCTACTTAACATCTCCTCTTTTGTTCTCAGGAAGGTATTTAAACAGGACTGAATGACACGAGAAAGGTGAGTAAATTATGACAGAATTCTCATTTTGAGTGAACTAATGCTATCCTCATGTCTCAGACAACTATACCTCTTTTCCTCTTTTCCTCTTTTCCTCTTTTCCTCTCCCCTTTGCTTCAACCTCCGGTGGTTTGCAGAAGGAGGCCTGCGGTAGAGCTGTAATCGGCCCTGCTCATTGGCTGAGCTTTTTGAGCGGTTACAGTAGCGGATTCATGTTCAGGTTTGTTTCTGTGCTGAAAGTAGGATGACGTGAGGTTGGCAGACATGGGGTGGGATCATATAACCCAGTTCATGTATTATTAACTGGCTGTTCACACTGGCCCACTGCATATTGATTACTCTTCCTCAAAACCTAGAACTTTCATTTGTGTTCTCCTAATGTGGCCTAAATAATTAGATGCATTACAAGAACATCGAAAGCGTGCTGAGATGAGTGTGCACGTACCCAGATTCATAGTGATTATTTTTGCTCTTTGAACATATTCTGCCTGTGGTTGATCAATACAGATGATCAGGTAATATAGAGCCACGGTCTCCTGGGATTTCAGGTGGGATGTCCTGTAGCGTTTTCAAGGTGTCTGTCCCGGGTCAGATGTTGTGGTCCACCTTTAATTAGCCGAGTAACGTCTCAGATTTCATAAAACTCGATACTGTCGTCTGATGCGATCGGCCCACTCTCACTGGGCACTCAATCCACACCAGGAAGTGTTCTACATTTCTCGAGCTTTGACACTCACCTTGTGAGGAGGTTTGAAAATCAATGGCGACAGAGGCGCGGCGTCGTGTTTGCCAGTTAATAAGCTAGAGGAGAAGAACAAAGCACCCTGCTTTCCTTTGAATTCAGATGAGAAAACTCCTCACCGCTGTAATCTCGCACATCAAATATTCATATGGGAAAAATGAGTATGCATCAGCGATTATGCTTTCAGATTTACTCAATAATGGAGACGGGCTTGTCTATGTGGTCGAGTCAAGTATTGAAAATGTGTTTCGAATAAATGGGTTTATTGCTTTTTATAAGTGTATGTGTTTTAAATTCCAGTAGCATTCATGGGAAAATATTGTAGATTAATTTTGTTCATGATTTAGCACGAAGTAAGAATTACAATTTGACTAGTCAAGTCAGTCAATCATTTAAAGCAAAGATTTCAGTGTTTTCCTGCTGCGGAACTAGATCATCGGTAATGCTTGTTCCACATGGATGTTCCAACTTCAAATGTTTTACAGCTTATAAACACAGTTTGTCAAAATACAACCCAGATAGATCATGTTCCTTCAACATTTTATGCAAAATCAAGCTTTTTTTGGAGTTTGACAGACATATTCGCTATAAACTGTTGTTCTATGGAAAAGAGCTGTGAGAAGATTCTTAAAGGGTGTCACAGGATGCCCATTTTCCACAAGTTGATACGATTCTTTAGGGTCTTAATGAAAAGTCTGTAACATAGTTTGGTTAAAATTTCTCAATGGTAGTGTAAAAAGCACCTTTTTTACCCTGTCAAAAACAGCTCTTTTCAGAGCATGCAGATTTGTAGCATTTTCCTTTAAATGTTAATGAGCTCTGCTGACCCGGCCCCTCTCTTCCGAGCCGCTCTCAGAGAGACTGTTTACTTTAGCTGCATTCATCCTGAAACTTGCTAATTAGTACATTATTAGGAAAGGCGATTTGCAAAGATTCGTTAAAAAACCTTACACTCACTTCTGTAGGTGAAGCTGGATCACGAATGATTCGCGCGAACATAGACGCATTTATGTAGATTGGGGGCGCATTCCCTTCAGAAACAAATGTAATCCACTGCGTCTTTGCGGCTCAGATGTCGGGAGTAAATGACGACTGCTATGTTCATTATTACATCCAACAACAGAACACCTCAATCGCTTAGGACTCATTCTCGTCTACATCTGCTCCGGCGGTGAAACAATGGCGGACTGATGACAGCTCACTGAGGGCGGGTCTAAGGTAAGACGCCAGTCCAGTCTGTGCTGAAACGCTACTGTCAATCAAACTATCGTGGGAGGGGGCATCTGAGATCAGCTCGATTTGAGAAAGGGGTAAAGATTTTAGTAGATTAACAAAAAAGCACTGGGTGGATTTTTATCATTTTAGGGTGGTTGTGTACACACATTGCCAACACACATTTCAGTTCAAAACAACTTGTCAAAGTGCATGTAGAATCCTATGACCCCTTTAAATATACCATAAATAATGATAGAATATCCATTGTTTTGAATGAAATAGTGGTTTAAACATCCAAACTGTCTGTTTGGGAAGATATGTGACAGCATTGAGATCTCTAGGTGAAACTGTGGTCGTGGAGAGAAATTCCTTTACTGTGATCGTCTGACAGTTGGAGGGGATGTTCCTCTGGGTTTGGTCTGTATTAACACTCCCCTGTTTGTTTAATTCTTTTAATCTGCTGCCGGGCTCCATGGGGTGTGTCTGATTAGTCTAATTAATTTACTGAGCCATTAGAAACAGTAGAAGTGGGCTAACAGAGCATTGCGTGAGTTTGTGTAAATTGCACTCAATTTGCTGGTTGCCTCATATGCTTCCATACAATTAAACCTGCTTGTCCGTTTCAAGGGAATATCAAGCCACATACACACACACACACACACACACAAATTGTACATAGACCCAAACAGACACCTTTAAATTCTGATTAAAATGAACTTTCGGAATTTAAATCAATTTAATAGTCATGAAGCAGTACTGTAGTTCAAATTTAAATGTAAAGTATTTTTAATGATTTGTGTTTGAAAATTAAGAATTATTCAAATGGAATGAAAGAAGAAATTCAGATTTCAGTACAAAAAAAATTAAAGAAATGAATGCTTTCATTCAGCAAGGAGACATTATATTGATCAAAAGTGACAAAGAAGATATTTATGCTATTATAAACGTTTTTTATTTCAAATATTAATTAAAAATTGTTTTAAAAAATGGATCATGGTTTCCACAAAAATATCAAAATGTTTCTTGAGCAGCAAATCAGCATATTAGAATGATTTCTGAAGGATTATGTGACACTGGAGTAATGATGCTGAAAATTCAGCTTTACATCACAGAAATAAATTATATTTTAAAATAAAGGGAAAACAAAATAATATTTTATTTATTTATTTATTTATTTATTTTCAAATAAATGGAGCCTTGATAAACATTAGAGACTTCTTTCAAACATAAACAACTTTGCACTGACCCCAGACTTTTGAGCGGTAGTGCATATGAAATGGCTGAATATGTCTAAAAAAAAATATGGTGGACAATTAAAAATTAAAATCTCTTTTTGATGGCTTTTTAATAACAAAAATAAGAAAAAATATATATGTTTTACATATCAAGGAATAAACAGGCATAATTAGTCAATATTAAATGTTTACTTTGTCACTTGTGTTACACTAATGAAATCTCACTGTATTGTTGAATTTGTTTGAAATGCAATTCAATACATTCTTCTTCTTGTTTTTCCATTTCAACTTCCTATGATTTGTAGCCAAATTAATTCATATTCAGAAACTAAATAATAAGAGCAAATGCTTAAATTCTACATGTTGCCCAATCTAACACACACACGCACACACGCTGTTCGCTCTCCTCCTTGTGCTACTACATTAGCGAGGGGCGTTTCTCTCCGGCTAATTAGAGCAAAGAGGTGTGATCTGGTTTTTCGATTAAGGCACATGCTCGGAACACTCCAGAAGTACTTTAACCCCCTCCTTCCGTCTCAGAGCAGGGTACGAGGGTGGCAGCCTTGCCAAAAGTGCAGGGGTAATTAAAGGCAAAGAGCGCATCTCACGCCAGGCCTGTTTAAGGGTTAATGAGGCCTGGGCTGCCCCCCAGCCGAGAAGGGGGCGGGGTTGGGACCCGGAGCTGCCCCGCTTCAAGAGGAGAACCACCCATAGGGGTTCTCTTTGAAGTGTCAGAAGGTCCCCCTTGTTCTGGGTGGCGGGTGTTTCATTTGTCTGAGTGGCAAATAAAAAATTGATGAAGCTGCCAGTAGTTCTCTCCGCCCCCTCGCTCTGACTCACACACACACACACATGCACGCCCTCGACATTATTCACAGATTATCCGACCCTCCCTCTCACCCCCTAATGACCCCCAGGAAACCCAGGCGGAGTGACAATGGAATTAGCTACGATACGTGAGAGAAAGCGTTCGTTCCGAAAGCATTCCGCTGAGCATCTCATGCTTTAAAAGATAATTAAATAGAACCCGAAAATGAATATCAATACATCATTTCTTTAACTTCCCCTCAGTCTGCACTAAAAACAAAAAAAAATTGAGTAGAAATAATTTTCACTCAGAAATTGCTAGTAAATTTCACAAACTGTTGCAGCAAGTAACACATTTAATTAAACATAGTAGAAAATATTCTTGTATTCTCTTAATTCTGTAATGATTGTTCACATTGTAGGATGTTGTGTCATGACTGGCCAGGCTTTCATTCATCCCTGCTGTTGTGTCACTTGTATTGTGACTGTTGTGTGTGGAATGGTGCTCTAATTTTGGGCCCCTGGGGAAAAGCCTTTATTGGCCCTTTTGTGTTGCTTCTGTATTATATGTCAGCATTGCCAACAGTCTCCCATGGTCCATCTGCTCATGGCCAGTGGGGAACATTCATGGAAAGGCCATAATAGAAACAAAGAGCTGTTAACAGTGAAACTATGAGCGGTACTTCTCTTTGGAGGAATATTTATTTGTTTTTTAGAAATGGAGTAAACGAGTGAGAATCCTATATCGAGTTTTAAGATATTTTAAAATATTGATCATTTATATTGTTAGCTTTATAGTTAATCTCTTTTAAACTATAGTAATACACAGTGTATGTGCAGGTGCATTGATAGGAAAGCCATTGATTGCTTGACTCTTCTTCTGCAAAAGGCTCAGCAGTTTCCACAGATTTAGACCATTCTTCATTCAACAAATAAAAAATAAAAATTAATTATGCATCTTCTCTTCTGGCATATGTGTGTATGAAATATTTTGGACTGCAGCTCCATCAGTTTCATTTAACACATTTCGCTAAGGATGCACAATATATAGCGGCAGATAGTAGTATTATTTTATTTTATGTTTATTTGTTTTTTTTTTATTTTGAATATTTAATTATGTAATGCATGCATGTTTTCAGTTTGTTTAAGA